AGAACTCGAACTGATAGTGGCGATTAGAGAAACAATATACAATGCGCGTGGTGATTGGAACATTTTTTGATAAGAGGTACTGTGTACACCGCTGATTCAGTCGTCGGACAAATTAGCATACAATTGTATTCGTGCAGGCGTCACTTACGCTGGGTGTAGAGTACAGGTTAGGCATATCTCTCCTTGTGAACAGTTATGGTTCTCGTAGCCCTACGTTAAGCCAAGTCGATCATCGGCGGATGATGTAATGGCAGGGAAGACTTGGCTCATCCTTGGCAGGTCCAGCGACTACTGTGTTTTTCATGGCGCCCAAACCTCTTACTGTAAGTACTGTGCACTCCCACCGATCACTTTGATACCGGTTCGGAACAGATGCGAGAAATAAAAGCATATCGGCGACGCAGTCATACTGGAGCTACTGTGACTGCCCCTGCGAGCTGAACAACCCAGCCCATGGTATAGTGCGGACGAACATGAAGGATGCAACGCACTCACAGACTCAAATGCTCCTGTCAAGCTTTATCCTGTGAGCTAAGCTCATTCGAATACAGCTTCCTGGGATACGGCCGATAAAAGGCAGAGTTACAGTCAAGGTCAAGGTTGACTAATCTAGTCCGCGACAAATAGATACATATACCTCTTTCAGAGGGAGAGTATCATCGCGCCCTCATTCTCAACTCTTTTCTAGAAGCAATTTCACAACATAAGTGCTAATCATCGGATCGAAGGCTTCAGAGATCTGAAGAAGACAGACACCAGCTCACTAACCCTGCATACCCTCCTCACACAAACCAACGGATCTCGTTCCGTGACGATCCGCGGCTCTGAACCACCTTCCCCTCGACCAGACTGGGATGGTTGTAGAGGCCACGAAATAAGTACGGTACCATCAACTGCGCCGTGTATTCTTGCCACCGCCACCAATTGACAGAACCCACCACATGGACCAGAGTATTCCATCTGCTCGAACGAAAAGACATCTGAATGACAGACACCTGAGAGACAGAATTTGAATCAGTCCGTTGTGCTTTCGTCAAACGACCATAAAATGGCTACACAGGATCCGAGCTTTGTAAACGAGATCTATTGATTTCAGCTGGGGCGAAACCTCGCATCACAAACATTCAGATCCGACACGATGACGATTTGGAAATATGACTTCCTTCTTTTATTTCTTTGAGAAGAAATTACGGACTGTGGTCGCTCGTACCAGCTATCCTCCGATTCATGGCCCCCTTCTGCGTGCCGCAGAAAACAAGAGCAAACGATTCGGATATTTCTCTCTTTGGCAAGATTCGTCAGGCTGTGTCAGGATCGCACCATGCTCACGGAAATCATTCCGATTCGCTGATGTTAGAACGCATTAGGCACGATTTCAGTGCCATACACATTCAACACGCACAGGAGCTTGGAAGATACTAGGTCGAGGAGAAGATGTAAAATGCTGGTTTGTCGATTCGTGGCATGCCCGCTGAGACATATACGAGCTCGTCATTTGGCAAGATGCGTTGAACAAGAGCGGTTGTCTTATCGCTCGTGTCTCGAGTCTCCGATGATGGGCTCTGTTTGAGTCAAGAACATGAGAAGGAGATTTGAAGTGAGGAAATAGACGTGGACAGAACCCATTACCGGTAGTTTCCATAGTTTTGCTGTTTGCAATTTTCACAAGCGTTGCGCGGATCTGCTTTTGCTTGCACTGAAGGGGGAGGGGCTGGCTTGTGGATGGTTCAGAGTGAGACATCTGAGTTGGAATGCATGGGATGAGACTGCGGTTGTTCCTCAGGATGCGATTTGTTTTCGAGGTTACTGCACCCAGCGGAGACTCTTGGTGTGAGGCTTTCCTTTTTGTTGCGATAGTATCGATGGTGGCAGTACGAGAACCAGAGTCTCCGTAAATGCTCTGCTCCAATCAGCCATGGACAACTCTAGGTGCTGTGGTAATCACGACGGATCGATAGAATGTACCTATACATGCCACTGTGCCACCACGGCATCAACTGGATGGATAGGTATTTTTAAGAGTGACACGCGCATGCCTGTGTATATGTCTTAAGCTCAAAGCCACACTTCACATAATGCATCCTTGAATGCACTGCTTTACTATCAGTGCTTCGGATACAAGCACTAACTATCGATGACGAACTCGTGACTTATTCAACTTCCAAGGATTAGCTCTTCGAAGCGCTCTTCAGAAGTGACTAGATAAGACTTACATAGTAATGTCAAATCAGGCACATTCACCCATCCTACAACATCGCATAGTGCAACAATTTTCAAGGCAATAGCACAGATAGCAGTGCTCTATAAGCTCCAGAGAATTGATTTATTGGCAGAAATAGCAGTGGCCGAAGGCAGGGTTTCACAGCGGGCTCCGGCACTGGTATGTCATCATCTCGAGTGGACGAATTGCAGTAGTCCGTGCTCTAGGAGAGAGACTCTCCATACAAAAGCGAACCTGGAACGAAAGTCCCTGTAAAAATCATCAAGCGTATGCCCGGTGTATTCCATCCGTCTACCACATAACATCCCTTCCGCAGCACATATTCCTCCATCCACCAAACTGTTGCCACTACTCTTCTCACACGATAGCTGTTAGAGACCCGACGACGTTCCTCAATATCTTGATGTCATCTTGGAGGTAGGTGATGGGAGTTGGATGCGAGACCCTGGTTCAGCCCGACGCCCGAACGCAGCAGGGAAGAAGATCGATCAATCCGCGCAACACAGTCGTGCTAGACGACGGTCCACGCGGATAAACCCTCAAGTTTAGCCTGCCAAAAAGTCGCAGTCGAAGCGAGAATGACCCTCCCTCTGCATAAGGCCTCTCGCAATAGTTGCTGGTCGAGATGGGTGATGCCGATCTAAACACCATGGGAGGATTATCTCACCACCCCGACCCCGATATCCCACGTGGTGGAACAAACCCAGGATCGAAAGAGAACCTATTGACGTAATCGGCGCCGAAATTTGAACTGACTCTTTATGTCAGTGTACGAATATAGGGAAAATCCAAGGTTAGCAGTTTTGCCCCGTATCTCCGTAGATCGACGCAAATTCACATTCTCAATGGACACAAATAGATGAATCGGACGATATCCGGTTCTGGTAGTGTAGAGCCATAGAAGACAGGCTAAACTGCCGTCAATTACTCCGGTGTAAAGATAGTCAGCTGGGTGGGAAGATTAGATTGCCTGATGTGCTCTCAGCTGACCCCAACACACGGTCACAAGATAATCTCGCATGAAGAAGAGTTGGTGATGATCCTTGAACGCGACAACGGTCAACGGTTAGGATAATGGAGCATCCTACCCGGGAGGAAAGCAATGAACAAGCCAAAGATCTTGACGTGATCCTTTGTAATACAACTGAGACGCCTTGAGATCCCGTGCTTCGTGCCTTACTACATTGCAGCCTCTGGAATATGCCCGATTTGAGGTTTAGGTCCCGTTCAGATGTGTCCTTATCGGCAACACTCAGTCCTCAAAGCACCTACGTACACTCACGAAAATGATTGAGCGCACAATAACTTATGCAGTACGATAAACTTTCTCCACTAGGTAAGCCGGGGGATGCATGCATAGACACGAAACAAATGACAGGAAGCCCAACGCCGAGATCGGAATCCAGGCATGCAGACGACTACCAATCCGCGTGCGAGATTGAGGAAGAGACGGTGAGTGATGGACTGAATCCGGTGGCTTTCTGTCCCCTCGCGTGCCGACTGGTGGACAACTATCTGGTCTAACGTCGTCTTCCGCCACCGGATTTCCCAAAGCCTGAAGGTTACTGCCACAGGTGGTTTACGAGTCAGACGCGTTCAGCCTGATGGAGGGAGGAGTGAGATTCCGATTGGGGAGTGTGTCGTTTGAATGTGAGGTTGATGTTGTGTGGTATAGGTAGGAGATAGGTGTAGGAGGCAGATGGGCATTGGTTGTCTCGTACAGGTACAGTACCTGCCTGTGGGGGAGACAACGCATCTGGCTTGAAGTAGCAGGAAGAAGAGACATGCGTCCTTTCTCTGTCAACACTCCCTCGTCACCCAGTAAGGTCATCTTGCGATAATCATGTTCTACAGGTATATACTCTCCAGCAGCACCAGTTTTGATCTCGAACATCGCGCAGCCTCACCACCACACTAACCCCTCGAGCCACAGCGCCCAACATCTACATCGAACTCCACCGCTGGAATAGAGTAAGTACCCGCATATCCAGCACGAAGGAAGAACCGGACAGCCCCCCCTTTCACTGGCACCGTGGTCCTCTAGATTCGGAAGGCAACATTAATGCAATGCTCAATCCTTCCACCTTCTCGGTCCTTCCCATACATGTAGGATCATCCAATGGCAAGGCAAAAGCATAGTATCTACTGTCGAAAGGCCCCCTCCCCCCAAAACTAGTCTAACCCCCATCCGCGGCATCCCCCGGGGTCCCTGGAAAACGCGAAAGTTGGCAAGAAAGAGGGCATTACTATGAGAAGGGAAGACCTATCACGGTGGTCAAAAGGACTTCGACGGAGGAACTTCCTTTCCTCTAGTTTCTGCTCTTGAGCTCTTCCTCCCTACCCCCATCGGAAGTATTCTTTTTCGATCAGGGTAAAACCGGACTGTTTCACCATGGC